AAAATTCGCAATCGTAAACGAGACATTAATTTTTGAAGATTGACGAATAAATGCGTATTCATCCGGCCCACCTCTGAATGCAAGTGCGTGACACGATAAGTAGATTAAACTGAACAAAAAGTCCTCTACTATTTTGTAAAATTTGCATTTATTAACGAGATATTAAGTTTATTTGCCGATCTTCAAAAATTAATATCTTGTTAACGATTGCGAATTTTGCAAAATGGTAGAGGACTTTTCGATTCAGTTTAGTCCGTTCTACCTACCCATGAACGGTGATACACCTATTATGAGACACCCTGTATATAATTATATATATGGAACTTTTTTTCCCGGGTGTATATATATTCTTGAATCATAACATTCTTGAAACATATAGAAGTATTATGTAGTATTTTCATATGTGACCTATTTTTCGAGAATAAGATCTCATCTTATATATGGAGGGGAGAGGGGGACTTCTTATATGATCAGGTTGATTATTCCCAAGTGTAACATAAGTACAAAAAATTGAAGGGAATATTCATTGGCTTATTTTAGGAAGAAAAAATCCTATAAACATAAGTTCTTAACTGCCTTGTTAAAACTTAACATGATAATCATATGCATACTAGCTCGATCCTGATGGGCATAAATAAAATGTACCCAGATAGCACAGAGAATGAAAAAAGAACTCAGTTATATGTCACTAATTCTGAGTTCATTTTCAGATGCAAAAAGAATTCTTCTTTTAAAAAGGATTCTTTTTGCACCTGAAAATAAACTCAGAATTGATGACATAAAACTAAACATACTAATGAATTCTTTTGGGCTCTGTGTGCTATCTGGGTACATATATGTTTTATCGATATTAGAAAATGGTTTTTAATACTAATGGCATGCACGCCAAATTTGAATAAAATATCTCCAAGTGTTTTCCAAATTAAGTTTTTGAAATTTTCATATATTTTTTTAATAACTTTGATAGCTAAAGAGAAATCCTAGACAAATTCTAAAAATAATTCTTTTCCAATTCCCGAATCATATATTTTCTTTGCATTTCATTTTTTTATCGCAAAAACTTAAAATTTTTAAGAGTTTAAGGCTGGCTGCAACGCGATTTCGTCGCGCGCGACACATGATATCCAATAAGCATTTAGTTTTACCGTTGTTTTTAGTTTAAACTCTAAAGCTGCAGTGCGTTATATTGGATATCGCGTGTCGCGCGCGAGGAACATCGCGTTGGTGTGCAGCCAGCTTTAAGGCGATGCTGACAGAACGGAATTACCGACACATTGCAGTTGTAACGATAACTTCGAAATGACTGAACGGAATTAAAAATCCTTTTACAGAATTGCAATATTATAGACATAAAATGTAAGTGCGCCAGCTACAAATTTGTAGTAAAAAAAAAATTAGAAAATTACATTTTTTTCAGGTACTGCAGTCGTGGACACATCGGTTGCGACACTGTTTTTTATAGGTTTCTAATATATATTTAATATACATAATATATACTTTATAGATAACTAATATTTTGCAAATGCGAACTACGATGTACTATCTTTAGTCTAAGAGACTGAACTAATTTAGTTTTAAGAGACAGTATAACATCAATCGTGGTCCGCATTTGCAAAATATATTAATGCGTTTTGAAATCTATATAAAAAAAAGTGTTGCAACCGATGTGTCCATGACTGTATAGCTGACCTGACGTAAACATTTCATTATATTTAGTATAAATATAGATTTATTATAAAAAGTTCTGTAGCTTATATGTACAAAATGAGTAGTTCGTGCGCATCAAATTACATGAACGAATAATACAAATAATCCTTTTGAGCTACGATTGAAAGCGTAGAAAAAGATTTTGTTAAGAAAAACAGTAATATTATTATTCTGTGGATTTTATTTTTTTTTTATCAAAAAAACTATTTTTAGCAACAATTGTATACAACTTTTTTTAATACTGCTAATTTATAAAATTATTTTTCATTGGAAAACACAATGGATTTTAAGTGGATGCTGAAAGGTCGGGAATTACCGACATTTGCATTCTAATGGATAACACCGAAACGATTGAACGAATT